TCAGATCTAGTTGTTTTTACCAAATACCTGTGGAGTACACACTTGCTGTTGTTGCTGCTGCTAAACTGATTTAACCATGAATAACCAAAACAAATTTCTAACAAGTTATAGTCCTGCTGTTATTGTCTCTGAGAGATCCTCTGCTAGTGTCACTCCCTTCTCACTACTGCTTCTGTCCAGGAGTTGTTTGGGACATTTAGTCTGGCTCCACAGTAAATGCCTGTACCAAAAGGACTGCTGCCATCAGCAAAGCCTCTTGTCTAAATTCAAAATGGCCCTTCCTAAACAGAAGTCCATAGCCAGCGACCATGACATTTAAAGTGGAATCATAGTGCTGTATAGTTGTATAGTTTGAAACAGACTAGAGCCTATCCACACCACCCTTTTCAGATCTTAGAAGTAATTACAAACAAATAGTTGCTGGTAAATAGTTTATTTTCCCCAATAATTACAAAAGTATAATGCCACACTGTGGCTGTGGTTTACCAAGGAGGTAATGTTCTTTTTCTCCCCAGTGTATAACAGCATCTTGTGACAAATTGTTATGGTTGTTGGTTGACAAATATCACTAAAAGATAGCAAAGGACTATAGCCTGGTTCAGGAGCTGGCTTATCCCTTGATCTAGCTTCATTGTGCTTTTTGAGAAGGTAAAGTCATTGTGAGAATTGTGGCTGGTTGTTGTTTTTTAACTACACTCCAGCTCAAATGCATTTGTGCTGCTTTTTTAAAAAAAAGAAAAAAAGAAAAGAAAAGAACTATAAAAAAAAACTTAGGGCTTTTGCAGACTGCCAGAAATAGTGCACATTAAATTGAGGCACTGCCCTGGCTCAGTGCTAGGGAGTCATGGGAATTGTATTTTTTTCTGAGACATTGAGCCTTCTCTGTCAGAGAGCTCTGGTGCCACAATAAACTACATTCCCCATGATTCCCTAGCACTGAGCTAGGGCAGTGCCTCAATTTAAAGTGCACTATTTCTGGCAGTCTGCAAAGGCCCTTAGTAATTTCTGAGGAATGGGAATGTTAAGTGTTATGTTAACATTGTAATGATAATAGTTACTGCCCCTTTCTCTTTGCAGCTATAATGGCAAGTAATCATTTTTGAAAAGCTCTGCTTTCAAAACCATCCTTAAGGGCACATGAACTTTGTCCAGTGCTCCTCTATTTTTTTTTATTATTATTTCTTGGGGCTTCCCTGTTTCGCAGCTAAATATGCCTAAAGCATGGAACCAGAAGTCTTATTGAACTCAATGGGACCCACTCCTAGGTTAGTTTGAGTAAAAGAATACCTTCAATCCTGACTTTACTACCCTTGGCATATAGGTACATTTGGGGAAAATCCGTTGAATACAGTTGCATCTGTAGGATTGCACTATAAAAGAAATGTATGGATGTGAGAAACAGTTCCTTGGTCATCGTAAGAACTGCAAGGAAAGGAAGAAGGTAAATGGATCGCTTTGTGGAGCCGCGCACCTTTCAGCTTCTACTGCTAGACGAATTCGGATTGAGGCGATGCGAATTGGCGCAGGTGTTGTTGAGAAGCCCATTCCTCCTCCCCTCGCCCCTGAATTATTTACCAGCTGCATCCACACTGCAGAAATAATCAGAGTTGACAACGCTTGCACTGCCCTGGGCTCAATGCTGAGATTCTTGGAATGTGTAGTTTTTGTGTGTTATTTAGCGATGTCAAACTGGATTATTTCAGCAGTGCGGATCCAGCCTAGTACTTGTGTTTGGTCTAGCACTGCCCTTTTCTGGTTAGCTGTAGGTCTTCCAAGGCAAAGGCAGGGAGAAAGGAGAGCTGAGGAGGCTTCCCCTCTGTCTCTTATTAACTTTTTGCTTGACTCTACTTGATCCAAAGGAAAGGTTTTTCTCCTCCTTTTGGTTCAGAGTCAGGTATCCTTGAGATTCCTGGCTCTGAAGAGACTTCCCTGGAGGAATCGAAATCAAGCTTTTTTTTCTATGAAGAAAGAATGGTTGGCTGGTGGCTGTATTGTTCTTGCTTTCCCAGACTATTTCTTGGCCTAACATTTCAGAACTGTGTATCTATTTAACGGGCATTAAGTCCTACTGAACAGTCTTTTGCAGCCACTAACTCAAGACCTTTTCAGATCTCAAAGTATTTTGTAGAAGGGGAAGGGAGGCTCTGGCTTGCTTCAAAGCTCGCCTTTGGCCCTTTCACAGTACACAGTTCCAGCGCTATGATCCCACTTTAACATGATGTCAACATTAGATGAAATCTTTGGGCTTTGTAGTTAGGTGAGGCTCTGGGTAAGAATCCTAGATATCCCTGTTGTTGTTGTAGTGTGCTTTCCAAGTCGTTTCCGACCAATGGCGACCCTATCATTGTATTTTCTTGGAAAGAGTTGTTCAGAGAAGGTTTGCCCTTGCTTTGCCCTGAGGCTGAGAGAGTGTGCCCTGCCCAAGGTCACCCAGTGAGTTTCATGGCCGAGCTGGGAACCGAACCCTGGTCTCCAGAGTTGTAGTCCAATGCTCAAACCACTAGGCCACGCTCTCTCTCCTAAACTGCAAATCCCAGGAATCTATAGGACCGAACTATAGCTGTTGAAGAGGAAAGATGGTGCTAAAATCGACCTTCGTCCTCCTTCTCCAATAAGTGGCCTTTAAATCACTTGCAATAAAATTCATAGCGCCCTTACTAGGCATACCCTGCCTGGATTTAAAAGAACATTGAAGACTAGTCTCTTTCGGCAGGTTTAGTCAGATGATTTTTTAAAAAATTGTGAATTTTAAAGGATGAAGTTTAGATGCGGATTGTTTTAATCTGTGCACATTTTACTTGTCCTTTTACATTGATATGTGTTTTAATCAATGTGTTTGATGTTGTTTGTTAATTGTGGATCCCCCGCCTCGATCCATGGGGAGAAGCGGCTAATAATAATAATAATAATAATAATAATAATAATAATAATAATAATAAAAACGTAGAAGCCACACCTCTTCGGAGAAAATCGACTGTCTTCTTTGAGATGTGTATAGTAGCCTAAATTCAATTTGCAGAGCCGACCACCTGGATCATTGGAAATCTGGTTAGACAACACCCCTGTAAGCTTCATTGATCCAGTAGGTCTTCTCTAGCTGGAATAAGCAATCCGATTTAGACCAGTGTTTGTGCTGTAGTGGTTTGAGGCTGAGCCGTGGGTTTTGGAGATCAGGATTGGATTCCCAGCTGGGCCATGGAAAGCCACTGGATCACCTTGGGAGAGTCACACTCTCTCAGCCCCAGAAAACCTCCTGATGGGGCTGCCCTAAGTCGAAAGGCACTTAAAACTTAAAGGGACACAACAACAACAAACAAACAAACAAACAACTAGCCTCAACTAAACATATGCAGGTACAACAGCATCCCAAATCCACACACACAAAAAAAGCATACCTTTATGGCTCCTTTCTCTTGAAATTATTGCGTGGAAAGAGATCAACAAACAACAACTAGTAAATTTGCACTTTTTTTTTTTTTTTTGCAACCAATAAAGGGAGAACAGCCTTGTCCGTTAAAGCAGTATGCACCCGCTATAAACAGTGCCTATACATATAGGGGACTTATAAAGTTATTTTTAAAGGGGTTGCACTTAATTTATTTACAGCAGGTGGATACCGCTTTAACTGGCAGGACTCCACTTGCCTGGGCAGAAAACTTAGAAAGAGCCAGGAAACACATTAGAAAACGAAGGTACCTGCTGCTCAATAACAAGATCATTGACTGTCTTTATTTGCAAGAGGCTGCCTAAAGGCTGGTGAAAGTGAAGTTGGTGAAAGTTGTCATGCAATGGGCCCCAGACTTTTATTAGAATTCAAAGA